ATTTGTTTATGAAATTGAAATTATAAAAATTTCTGTAGATAGTAATTTTATAAAAGACTCAACGAACATTTACATAAATAACTTTTTTGGGGATTTTATTAGTTTAAAAATATAAGGTATATCCGAGTGTTTTATTGAAGTAATGAAACCTTATTTTCGAGACGAAGATACTTCATTTCTGCCAGGAATTTAGTTTTGCATTCCCTTGAAAATGAATCGAGCGGCTCGCGATAAAAACGGGGGACACTAAAAGTTCGTTCCAATTAAAAAAAAACACGAATTGTTAAAAAGCGTAAATAGTTGAAAACGGCGTTGGTAAAAAGTTGAATCGTTGAAGTTTTATATGTAACAGACTATGCATTTATATCAATCTGTTATTCCTTTCTATAAGAGCATGATAAGAGTTTATAGTAAGGTTCATTAAATCGAGTTTTCGTTAAGTGCCCTTCAGTTTGATTGACTTTCAAATCTGTTCTCTCTCTGTTACTATTTTCCTTTTTTTTTTTTTAACGAAATAAAAGCTTCACGAATAGATTTTATCTTCTATATATTTGGAAAAATAAATCTACCTTTTTTTTTTTTACATCTTATCGAGACTTTTGTGCGATATTCAGGTTAACTGTCAATTTGCAAGTCTGTGTAATAATAAATTTGTTAATATCATTCGCACCGTATAATTGTACCTTTTGAAATAATTTTTTAATCAAGGCACGATCGTGAACAAAGCAGCAATTTTAATTTGAGAAGAAATAATGTATCATTTAACTATGCGTTTAACGTGAAAGTTTAGTCCCTAATTTCGTAGATCCTTAAAGCACGGATATATAAATTAAGAAGTGTATATTATATTACCTTAGAATAGGAAAGAAAATATTTATGTAAGTATTTTTCCAATGCAATTTACGTTAGTGATTTGTTATCCGAAAATTTAGAGCGAAGGTTATATCTATTACGAAATTCATTCTAACGTTTTGTAAACATTTCAACTAACTTCGACAGTGGCCTCAAAGCTTACTAATATTGCAACCTTAGAGTAAAGTCCCTAATAGGTACGAGTTATACTCCGAAATTTCGGTTAACTTTGAGAGGCATAACTTCCGATCAAAGCTTTATAACGTTGGTGTAATCTAATACTAACCAGATCACGTGTTAAGCTTTTCTATCAGGTCAACGATCAATTATACACTTATTTCATGATTATTTTAAATTCCCTTTTTTCTTTTCCATAAAAAGATTCATTAAGCTAAAGTTCATTTCTTATATTTTATTCTGACAAAGTTTTCCATAGTTTTAGCAATAACAGAACACACTCAAGAACAAATTCTCCTTTTATTTAATCAAACTCAAAGAGTGAATATTAAGAAAAATATTTTCGTGCAAGAAATGGCAAAAAATAAAAGGAAATTTCACAGTTTCACAAGGTCATTTTAAATCTAGATTTCAAACATGAGACAGTTTCATTCATTTAAAAAAAAAAAAAACATAGACGACTTTGAAAAGCAAAGAACAGAAAAAAATATTCTCCCATCTTTATTCACCTTTTGGAACCATTTAAATTACGTCCAAAAAACAAAAAATGTCTCGTACCACCGTAGAGCTAGAGAAGATAATTAGGTGGGCTGTGGCCCACCCTGTATTTCAACGAGGCTTACTGATTAACTTCATAAAAGCCAGCGTCTCGTATATCGTCGCGAACGAGTGTTAGAGAGAGAGAGAGAGACAGGAATTTACAACCCCGTGAAATTCGTACAGGAAAATTACGGTATGTACGAGACGAGGAACACGCACATTTCACACATTACACTTGCACGACGCATTGATTGTCCGCAAGAAGAGCATCCATCGCATCTAAATGTACAAACATGCAAATCGTCATTCATCCACTCGATTGCTCACCACCCGTACCCCTCCGATCCCTCCTCCCCCCTTTCTGTCTCCAAATAATCACATTTCCACCCCGCTGTAAAACTTGCTCGCCACCACAGCAATCATACGAATCATCCGAGCGATTAAACAAATCCGGCCCGCGCGGACACGAGCGCGAGTTCGTTTGCTCGTTCCGCGCCCAACTCCTCCTTTTTCCGGGGTGTGCACCTCATAGTTAAGACGTTAATCCTTTCCTCCTTCTAGGGTGTTTTCGCTGACGGTATTATCGCGGTTTTGCTTCTCGGTCCGCAAGCATTTAGCGCGACGCCTCGTGCCCCATTATTGATTTTCCGTTTGTTTTAGCCTCTTCCTCCGTGCCTGTCGGTCGTATATATATATATATTTTTCTCTTTTCCTTTCCCCCCCCCTGTTTTCTCCTTTTTTTCTTTTCGCTTCCACCACCTCTGCATCTCGTTTAGTAAATGACCTCACCGAAGGGGCCACGGTCCTCCTCCTCCGTGGTTATATACGCGTGCGAGGCCATGGAAAGAGAGGAAAAGAAGAGAAAAAAATCGCGCAGGCTAAATAATTATGTCCCATTTCACACCGACTCCATCGTTAACAAATGTGAATCCGCGGGAATATCTGGATCAGTGATTCGAAGCGACGAAGACACGGTGAAAGAGGCGAGTAATGATCATTCTCTCATTCTCTCGCCCGCGACGGCGGCGTGATAGTAGTGGGAGCCTTGGCCTGGCAAAGATTTCTTGGCCAAGTCCTATCGTAACACTCGCCGATCCTTATCGCACTCGATCTCTGTCCTCGGGTCGAGAGCCTCGAGAACCTCTACAGTCAGACCTGGGTCACCTTGATCGATCGACTGTTTTATTAAGCGCGACGGTTTCGGCACTGATTAGCTACGGACGACACGCATCTTCGTTCCGGATCTAATCGTCCTTTTACGCTTCTTTCTTGTCGGCGAATTTTCGTGCCATTTTCCAGGCTACTATTCCAATAATTTCTTATTGTTCATTTTCGGTGCAAGCTTTTAGGGGTTAAACTTGTTAAACTTTATCTTGTAATCGTTTCTTGCGAATACTGGTACAAGCTTTTAGCGTTAGTTACACATAAATTCGGCTAGTATTAATATGTTGAATTTTCTTACGAGCTTTTGTTACTTCTATTAAATTTGAAGGAATGAAAATTTTTTGTTATATTTTTTGTAGAGTGTCAGTTGTCACTCTAGTCTCAGGAGTGTACAAAATTTCCCCTCATGTTTGAAGAATAACAATGAAAAACATTCGTGAAAGTAGAAGTTGGCAAAAATTCGCAATATATTGAAATCGGTCGTTATAAATTTTATTTTCACAATTTTTCATTTACCGTAATGTGCGCAATTAAATTTTGCACGCACGAAAAGAAATTTATTTAACTTTCATTCCATTTATTATAACAATATATTTAAAATACCTCGAAATTCGTTTTAGTATTTTTACACATCCCGTTTAAGTAAAATACTCGTATTAGCCTAAAAACATTCTAATTTCTCGTTGCACACCAATAGTGTTCTACAGAGAAACGATTACTGCTGAAACATTCATCTCACTCAAATCCTTATTTCGCGAAAATTTTTAATACCGTGGCATTGCAGTGATACGATAGGAGTGCTCTTTCCACTGGTGTAATAATCTCGTTAAAATTATGCTAGAAACAGCGCACGGTTTAATTGTCTTCGTGATAAATGTAAGACCAAACATTTACTGGCGCAGCTTACTGTAAATAACCGCATTGTATTTCCCTTGCTGCCTAGGATGCTATAAAGAATGCACAATGTTTGTTTCTGCGTTTTTCCACATCTTGGCAGCATAACTCGGTTACATTCAACTGGTAACACCGTGCAACAGACAGACTTCTTTTTTCTCCCCTCTTCTTCTTTTTCTTCCTGTTCATGTTAAATTCCTTTTGTCCGCGATACTTCCTTGGAAAGAAGGAGAGAGAGAGAGAAGAAAAGATAAAGAAGCGAAAGACGTGGTACACGAGTGTAGCATTTTTTATACACTTTAAACGTGAAATGTAACAGATAATCGTAACTTAAACCCGGGAAAAAAGTGCGATTACGAATTATTCGTGTGGAAACGTTGAGTTTGCTGTAATTTTTATTTTTATCCTTTTCCATCTTACCTGGCTCTGATTGTAAATGTAAAATTACACCTTGTGTACGTGGAGTAACGCCAACCCGGGGGGATGATCGTTCTAACGAGGCCACTCGTCCTTTTCTTCACGGTTTTCTACGTTTTTCTACGGGTGTCTCACCTAACGTTATTACCCGATACATTTCTTTCGCCTTTGGAATTTGAAAAGGATGTTCCTTGCGAACGTTACAAGAGAGACATTTTCTTTTTAAGTAGATGGTGGTGATCTGTGGGACACTTACTAGAGTACTCGAACAAAAATCAATTTAGTATTAAACTGATAGACTCGATGATTGGTGTAATAGGTAAATAAGAAATTTGAAAAAAATAATTTTGTCAGGAAAGGGTTAAACGTTGATTAGTGTTTCTAGGAGGTATTACATGGAGCTTAATGACACGCAATTCAGGTGCACATATTTACCAATTTAGGTGTTTTATGGTATATTAAATATTGAAAAGTAAGTAAATGTTAACGAATGCAAAATGCCTTCCTAAAGCTGTTAATTTACTATTTAATATTTAATATTTAATCAAATTAAAAATTAAAATACATCGATGATTTAATGAAGGTTTCACATAAATACATTAATTGATAAGTAGTCATAAAATACTATTTTTAAAATGAATATTGTATCTATTCTGAAATTTAATATATTCGAAATTTTAATAAAAATTCTTAATACTGTCACTGTCAATTATAGTACAAAACGTGGATTCTTATCAATTCTTCTACTTAGTTTAAAAAAAAAAACATATATCTAATTCTAGTAATAATTCTGGAAAACATCCTTTAACGCAACCAAAATAAAAGTTTATTTACCACATAATCCTCGTTGCAAACTAAAAACTAAAAAATGTTCAATTTTTCGCAGGAAAAGGCGTTCGCGGTAGAATTTCGAAAGCAAACGCACCGTTTCACCTGTCAAAATTAATTCCGGCATTCTTCTGGTAAGCCCTTCCTTTCTCGAATCTCGAACGCAAATATTTCTCCCGATTACGTCAGAAGGTGACGTTATCTCGTATCATTACACACGTTCGCGCGAATATACGTGAAACGTACAGGCGAGGTCAATTTTTCTCCACGCTCGTCCTTTTTCCCACCTGTTCTTCGGGCAAACGAGCCACGGTCGCTCCGAACTTTCTGTCACGTTCCATTTTAGCGATCGCGAATCGCTGCGAAACAAACGATCACGCCACCGTCGATCGAGTGGTGGTGGTGGCTTTTCTCTTCTCTTTCGTCAATTACCAACCTCGACTGCTGGCCGATTCTAAAACAACCGATCCTATCGATAACTTCTGTCTCACGCACGGAATCGAATTGATCGTCGGTTGCAAAGCAGCGAACGAACCCACCTATCCCTCGCCTCCTGTTCTGCTCTCCTTCTTTTTCCTCTCTTTTTTTTCGCTGGAAAAAACAACGGAAACGACACGACCAAGCCTCTGCTTCGCGGTCAAATCGACCGCGATCACCGTTGAGTTACTGTCGTTTGTTTTCCGATAAGTCGGTTCCCTTGTTCCGGTCATCAGTTATCTGATTTTCATAAATAATGTGCTCGTGAAGACAGGTTTGCAACGAAGAGAAAGAGAGAGAGAGAGAATCGAATATAGACCTTTTCGAAACTTGACGCATTTACCTCGGAAACATTTTAACACCGATCCCGAAGCTTCAACAGACTGTTCGTCTTTCCTTTGTGAGAACAGTACGTGTATTTTACGTTACATGATTAATTTTCAAGGTATTGATCGCGAGTATTTATGGGCTTACCGGATAACGAACCGATACCTCCTACACTCCGCCGTCAAAGGGATTGTATAATTATGCTGGTGATTACGAAAGTGGCGAAGAATCGAGAAAATGTTGAATTTGTCGGAGTTACGCGACAATAATACGGAAGTATTGTTGAAAGGAAAAAAGAAATGAAAATTGTGGCAACGGGAGCAATTTGAGAAAGAGGATCGCGATTTTCATTTAAACAGCCGTTCATTTTATTTTGTTATTCAAAAATCGTTTAGTACCTGCTTTTACTGGTCACAAATATCATGCGCTGCTTCGATCATCTCTGTTGCTTTTGTATTTTTAACGAACCTCGTGAAAAGTTTATACCAAAAGCACATCATTCACGACTAATTTATTTACTTCACACACGCCACAGTTCAATCGAAATTAATACACGTGAATAATATAACTTGAATATTGACCACACGAGAAGAAATAATTAGCGAATTCTGCGAAGAACTGCGTACTCTGTTTACAAAGTCACGTTTATCTGTTTATTTTAATATAGAAAGCAGAAAAATCAAATTTTCTCAGTTAATATCGTTCACATTAATAATTGACCAAATTAATATCAGTTGTGGTATGAATAATATTAATAATTGGCGAAAATCCATATTTTTCCAAAGAAAAAATTCTTCAGCCCCAAAATAAATGTCAAAACTCATCGAAAACAATAGAAATCAAAATTCCATTCAATCTTTCTTAAAGAAAATTAAAGTAAATTAATTTGCACACCTAACACAGAAACAAAACCAAAAAAGAAAGAACATTAATCTCAATCATCCCTAACACTACAGAGACCCAGAATTCACTCTGAAAAACACCCATTAGAATCACACGTCAACAGCACAGAATTCATTTTCGTTCAATCTTCAGATTAAATAAAAGGATCAAAACTTACGAGGACACTCGAGGGAGAGCACGTCGAACTCAGCTCCGATTAAAAAATATGAAATTCTTAATTGGTCGTTGTACCGTCGAGCTCACCGCACCCCCGAGGAGTTTACACAAGAAATAACAGTTGATTTTTTCTCCTTCTCCTCCCTACCCCCGTTTTCCCCTGCATTTCCCGGTTTTCGTCCGCAGGCGGTGTTCGTGTATCAAATATGTACGTACGAGTTGCCTCGTTATGGCAAGTACATATTTCCCGGCTGGGCGAATGCGATCGGAATACTGATCGGCCTGTCGACCCTCGCACCGATGCCCTTCTTTTTCATCCGTCGCCTCTGGAAAGGTCCGGTAAGTTTCGTCACGAGGGTAATAACGACACCGCGTAAATCTCTCGCGGATTTCTATCGTTACTACGCTCCCGAATAAGCGGGCTAATTCGCCGTCCGATTACCGGCAATTGCACGCTATCAAATCGCGGAATTTATGCCGCGGACCCCGTAGGGTACAAGCTGAATCGAGATATCAGCTGACATAATGCCCGACAAACTGGAGATTATTATGCAAACTACTCGCCCGGTTTTTACGATACGCGGCCACCTTCCACTGTTTAGAATTCACGGTGATGGTAACAGTAACAACCTTCGATTTTAAGGCTCGAACCCAACCCCTCTGCCCAACACTGGCCCCCGTCTTTCCAATCGTGTTAAACGGCTTTCAGAACGTTCTGTACCGTTTCCGAGACGGCTTTTGAAGTTTTATCGTCGGATCGTTTCAAACAGATTTCTCCGACTTTTATGTTTTCTGTATATCGGCCGGCTCGATCGGTTCGGATCAAATTGATACAATGTAGCCGGAGGATCGAGGGGATGGAAAATGTCCGTGTGAATTTGTGCTCGGTAAGTGGTTTATTGAAAATGATTTCGAGTTACATCTTCGGAACGATAGGAGCTAGTTTTGTCGAATTGATGATCGGTGAATCTTCTCTCTCGGCTGTTTTTTTGGTGTAACAGGGATCGTTGTGAATGCAATTTGAGAACGTAGGGAAATAACGGAGATTTAAATTTGAACGGAAAAACGGAGGATGTAGAATTTTACGAGTAACAGAATTTCGATTTTTTTTTAATAAAATACACGCTTTCTTGAAAAATTTGAAAGATTGCGAAAGAGATGTCTCTTTGTCAACAATCAGCGAGAATCCTCTTGGTGTTTCGTTTAAGACGAGCTGTCAAACGTTATTTTCATATCAATTGACAAAACGAGTGGTTGGAGGTTAATGTAAACCAGGTTTCAATTAACTGCACTTCAGCTGAAGGTAAAGGCATAACGCAGCAATTAATTAACTTCTGTCGAATGTTGTGACGAACAAAGTGATTCGCGTGTATATTGCGGTCATTTCGTATTAGCATTATAATTTATAGCTGTGAACTCTGTTAATATTGAGCGGCCGTGAACGTTTAATATTTGAAAATTGCTCGCCCGGAGACGAAATTTTCAGGTCCGGACTGAACATGTCAAGGCTATCTTCGATCGTTTCTTTTATTCATGATGATCGCAATAAAGCCATGAAAGTCTGTCGCGGAAATAAAGCGGGGTTTAGTTTCTTGTTTCAGAGGGTCGAACTTTTTTAACCCGAATCAAACAAACCCCCGGAATATTCGTGGGGAGAAAATCGATATGGAGTGCCAGTTTGTATTGAAAGTTAATATTAGTAGTATCTGAAAGTTGACCGCTTAATATTAGCTTTTTTTTACACTGTCCTCAATCACCGATATGTATGTATGTACATTAATCACAGTGTTATTTCTTTCTTTTCTTTTTTTGTTTTGGATATATTTGTATTGTTGTATTTCAATCGTTTCTAACTAAACGGGTATTTGAACTTGATTTCTCTTTTCAGAAAATTAGTAATTAAAAATCAAAAATTAATAGTTCTCTTTTATTTGTGATTAATGAAATTGTTGGAAAATTGGTATTAAATTGAGGATTGTTGAAATTAAGAGAAGTCGTTCTGTTCGTTTACAGGTGAAACTTTTTTTTAAATTAACATTTGAGCTAATTTTTAAATTAGGAAAATTTCAACAAATTACAGAATCGCTGTCAAATAACTTTTTTATTACATTATTTCAACAATAAATGTTAACATTACTCTTCAGTGATAAGATATCGTTCAAAGAATCGGGAATTTTATAAAAAGTTAATTTTCAACTTTCCAGAGGGTAAATCTGAGTTTTATCTCTTTAATGCGAGACTTAAAATAGGGGAAGAAATACGTATCTTTTAGATTTGAATGTTTCGACAGAATCTGTATAAAAAACTTCTTTCAAATAAATTCGTTCTAGTGTTTGAAATTTTTGTTCAATTTCGAGCCGATTTCAATGCTTTTCCCAATGAAAATTTTGCACACTTTTATCAAAATATCGTCAGGCATTGCAAATTTTTCTTAATTTTTCATTTTTGGCAATTACATCGTTTACCATTTCAACTCCGCAATTACAAA